TAAATTTTATACTATCAAAACCTACTCTCCAAAAATATAAAAATGGCTGCAGAAATGGATTTCATATGATTCATGTTGTCACTACCAGAAATATATCTAGTCGTGTGACAAAGGACCAAACGAGTTTGAGGCGTGGCTGTCGTACCACCACTCCTCCTTTGGAACAAAAGAAAACTTACACTTGGAAAGAATATTACAAGATTATGACAAACGAGCAGAAAAACGCGTAAAGGAATTTATTGAAAGCCTTGAAAAGCAGCTCGATTACAAATTCGCGAGCCTTGAAAAGCAGTTTTCGATTACAGATTCGCGAAATTCGAGAATAAACTTCTAATCATGTTGGTTGTCGGATTTTCTGGACTTGTTGGAAAGTATATTATTTATGAAAAAGTTAAGAAAGAGAATTAATAACATTCTATTCATTTAAATATATTTTTCGTACCTATGTCCAGGGTTGGGAATTTTGTATGTACTAGATAAATTTAACACTGTACTTGTACTGTACTTGTACTTGTACTAATTTTTATATAATTATTATAATGTACTAACTGTACTAATTGTACTAATCATTGTACTTCCCAACCCTGGCCTATGTCCATTTATCAAGAAATTATTTTTTTAAAAAAAAAACTATATCGAAATAGCTTAATGCTTTTTTATTCTCTTATTGCGTAATGCAAATTATTATTATATCATTTGATTAATAGCATGGCAAACTTACTTTTCAATTTCTAAAATTAAAATCAAGCGAAAATGAATTTTAATTATTATGTAATATTAATTTTCTTTTAATTTTTAACTTTTAAATAATAAAAAATGATTGAAAGCATCTAGCTTTACATAATATTTGGTCATTTTCGGCATTATTCTTTTTCAAGCCGTGACCCACCCAATTGAAGTTAAAGAAAATTGCTTCTTGGTGTTTTCGATTGATAATTGCTGCGTCACATTAGATTTTTTGTTATTGATGTATTAAAACTATACAAAACTTAAATTAATAATATAAAACAAGATCAGTTTAATAAATTTATTACTTATTATATGTATTGATTGAATTTAAATTGTGACGAATAATTAAAAGATGAATTGAAAATGTACTATACTACTTTTACATGAATGAATACAAGTAATAAGAAATGATAATAATTTTTTTTTTTTTTTTTGAATTTATAATAATTCTTTTCTTGATAAATTAAAAAAAAATAATTATCAATTGTGTGAATAAAGATATTTTCAAAACAAATTAAAATTAATCAAACCAATAAATTTTTAAAGATAAAAAAGATTTACTTGACAATGGTTTTAAAAGTCATTATCGATAATTACGCAACATTTAAAAAATAAATCAATCAAATCGAATTGATGAAATCATTTAAAGGAAAAGGAGAAGTTTCAAAACACCCCGAGGGTAAAATTAATGATTCAATATTGTTGTTATTATTCAAATCATTAAAGATTGTACCATTAAATAGATTATTTTCAAATGGTTTGTTTGTGATTTGTGGTCCTAGCTGAGCAATTCGCTCGAGGGTATTGGTATTGGTGTTGTTTCTTGAACGAATTTGCGCAACACCGTTTTGATTTTTATTTTTATCATCATTATTATTATTTGAATTATCCATTGTGAAGAAATGTATCGTTCATTGTCTTGACTTGATTATATTTATAATAATTTTGGAAAGTTGTTAATAACCATTCTCATTCATAAACAGAAATTCAATTTACCTTAAAAGAATCTGATTGTAATTTAATTGTAATCAATCTTATTTATATGTTTAAAGGTGAATAAAACTTGAATAAATTATGATTTGCATTGAGCGTTTGAAATAAAAAGTTTTAATCTATTTTTAATTAATTTAATTTTTTTTTCTTTTTTTTTTTTTTCGACATCGAATGTTAAAAAGGTACGTGTCTGGTTTTCTTAAAGCGTACATTCCCTTGTTTCACGCTTTAATATTGTCCGTCGTCAGAAAAGATATTCAAAAACTAATCATAAACAGAAATTCAATCATAAAACCCTTTACCTCAATTGCATTTTTTTTAATTGGCATTTGTATCGAATGATAACAAACGTACATGTCATATGTCTAAGCGTTAATATTGTCTGTTGTCAGTTCTTCAAAAGGCTATTTGTGTCAATAATTACGAATCCAATATTCATAAACGGAAATCAATAATTACAAATCTAAAAAAATTTACTTTATCCCAAAATAATCTGATTAATGGCGAATAAAATTTTAAAAAATTTTTTTGATTTCTTGTTGAAATAAAGATTTTTAATTTATTTGAATTGATTATTTTTTTTTTTTTCACGTTAAAATTCCTTGTCATTTCTATCGAATGATAAAACCGTACGTGTCATATAATCAACGCGCTAATATTGTCTGTCGTCAAGAAAAAATTTATTCAATAGGATATATGTGTCAATAATTACGAATGTAATCATTACATACAATCAATAATTACAAATTTAAAGATACATTACCTCAAAATAATCTTATTGTAACCTGTGTTATACAATTAGAATGAATTGAGCTTTAAAACTACATATGACGCAGTTCTTGATTGAATCGATTTTCCGACAGATTTTTTTTTTTATTGAATAAAAAAGTTACGTAGAGTGCATTCTTTTGTTGATGACGCGTATTAAAGGTTTCACGCGTTACTATTGTCTGTTACAGAAAATGAGATTTTTTGTTTAATAAATGACTTTAAAATCGTATAAAAACCTCATGCATGTCAATAATAACGAATCCAACTATATGACATAAATTCTCGAATAGTATTTTTTTTTCAAACGCCTATAAACAATGAAATAAAAGTCATTTAGCCAAAAATTGAAAAAGTTTCAATAAAACTTAAATTGGAATAATGATGCTCTTTTGCAATTGCAAAGGTAAAAAGTGGTAAAATTGACAAATATATAGCAATATCACGTGATTTTTTTAAAAAAAATGAATCAAAAACGTGGATATATTATCGTTATATACTCAGGATTTATTTATATATCTTTTTCAGATAAAAAAAATCTATCAAATATATCCTTTTCTTGATTTAAATAAACCCCATTTTAATTTTGAACAAAGAACAAAAGAAAATGGAAATAATTGAATGACTCATACCAGTATAAATCGGTCATTTTTTATATTTATTTTATTTTTTTTTTTTTTGATCTAAATATAATTTTTTAAAAAAATATATTAGAAAATTATGAATTGAAATTCACATGCATTCACATCCTTCACATGGAACTTTAGTGGTAGAGTTCCACCATTGTTTCACTTAGTGCTACCTTTCATTACAACTACTCAGACCGACCTCCGATTCGATTCAACAGCTGGCATCATCAAGTTTCACTAGTAGATATTCTACATTTTTTGAAGTTTAAAAAGATTATAAAAGTCGAATTTTAATATCTCAATGAGAATAGTTGAAACTTTATTGGAAAGATAGACTGAAAGTCATTACAGATTAAAGATGTGTTACCCTTCGGGGATAATCTCCATTTATGTAAAAAAAAAAAAAAAGTTTATCGTTGATTTTAATGTTATAAAAACTTTTGATAAAAAAATATTAAGTAAAACTTTGATGATAAATAAACTTGACCTTTTGATTTTGACTTTGATGTCAACAAGAAAAAAAAAAATAGGGAAACAGTCAAAAAAACAAATGTTTATGGAGCGATTTATTTATTACATGTATATACGCATGCTTTCGCATAAAGCGCATAAATTTCTAAGCCAACTTTCCTTTTATTTTGGTTGGATGGAATACATTTTATGTACCAAAAAATAAAGATAGTTTCATTATTCGGAAAATGCATTCGATAAACAACATTTATTAATGAATATATATATTTTATTACGCGTTTTGTAAACAAACAGAAAATATTAGTTTATTATAGACATAATCCATACATATAAGATGTTCCATATGCATCTATGAATCATATGTGTGAACCCAAAAAAAATGGTTTTGAACCCACTACAAAAAGTTTATTGCAAATCAAGAAGCCCAAATAATTAATGTCTATGAAAAAAAGCAAACTAAAACTACTACAACCTCCAATCTCTAAATATTTTTGATTTTTAACCATAATGAATTATAAGTATAAAGAGAAAGAGAAAGAGAATAAGCTATTCCAACATAATATTTAATAAAAGATCTATTTATGAAGCAAAAAGTACGAGTTTGTTCATTAGTTTCATGAGTTCTAATAACAACTCTAGCAACTTGTTCATTTCCAGTTGTTAATGGAATCACCGAATAAGCGTTCTGCTTTAGTTACTTTACACTTCCACATCGTTTATCGTCATAACTCCCCGTTGATATCCCTTTCGTTTACTTGTATACCAATAAAAGAACCACAGTATTTCTTTTTATTGGTTAATAATCTATAATCTAATCTCAGAAAAAAAATAGAGATAGATATATAAAATACGTTGATTTATGGTGTATTTTCCATTTTAGAAGTGTATGTTTCATCATTGAGATGTTTTTGTATCGTGGGATTTTTTTTTAAAATTCATTTATCCAAATTTATAACAAAAAAAAAATTTTTTTTTTTTTTTTTTTTTGATCAATTTATTGAAAAAAAGAGATTTTTGGGGAGAGATTGCAATTGGATTCATTGGGAATTCATATTTATAACAAATTAACCGGTTTACGAGATCATCATCATCACATGACGCGTAACTTATTAAAAATAAAAAAATAAAATAAAAATTCTTTGATTTTTGATCTACAAAAAATCTATATTAAATGTTCCTTTTCTTCTCATTATTACTATTATTACTCATTACTATTATTACAAAAAAATTAAAGCCTTTAAATATAATAAATATAAAAATATTAATAATAATACTAATTATACACTATACTAAAATAATACTACACTCATAATACTTTTAAAAATTACTATTTAATATCTCTTGAAAAGTATGGATCTATTAGACGTAAATAATCTACAAGTAATTAAAGAAATTATTAGATGATTTAATTTAAAAGAATTCAACCGTTGACCTATTATTAAATGGTCTCATTAATGGTGAAGAATTTTGAAATGTTTGCAATGTAGGCGTTAAAGGTCTTGCTTGTATCGGTGATCCTGATCTTTGTGAAATAGGTGAAGTTGGCCGAAGTATGGGTGACGAAACTTTATTTATCGAAGCAGATCCAACAGGAGGTCTTCTCGTTTCTGGTGGGCGTGGTGTCATTTTGCGTGCTTCTGAAAGCGGAATCGTTGCTATATTACTTGAACTAATAACTGGTGCTATAATGATAATCATCAATATTTAATTTAATATAATTTTCAAAATCAAAATATGTTTAATAAATTAATTAAAATAATTTCTTTTATTAAATACCTTTGCTGTCTCTTGCGATTGTGGATTTCATCATTGCTTTAATCCAACCTTTCAATGTCTTCATGTCTTCATGTGCGAAATAATGCGATTTCTCTGTATCATGAATCAATTTGAATCCATATTTTCCATGTAATATATTCTCATCCGAGATGATACGATATCCGGTTAGATTTATGTATCCCTTCGCCTTCGATAGATCAAGTTCCTGATAAAAAATATATTTATATATTTAAAATGTTTTGCACATCTTTTTATGTTTTTTTTTTATTAAAAAGAAAATTATGTTCATTACCTTATCATTCTTAAAGTAATAAAGATTAATCCCTTTTAATATGCAATAACGTGAATTCCATGTCTTATATTTTTCTCCTTGTTTTTTCAAATATCCTTCATGATCTGCCTCTCCAATTGAATTAAACGCTTCGTCGCTCAAATTTATATTATTACCAATGTTCTCCAATGAATAAATATTATTTTTACGATCGTTTAATGTTGAATTAGAATTAATTAGTTGATTTTGCATCCTAATAATTATATAAAGTCAACTTATTAATAAAATAATTGTAGGTAAAAGTATAGATGATGAATGTATGTATCTTAATAATTACTCTATTGGTCGTTTAGGGAGACCCAATTGATTTCCGACCAAGCTACTTCGATCCTAAAAATAAAAATATATGATAAGAGATACATCCCATATTAAATTATAAAATAATTTTGAATATTTATTTACCAAAACAGATCTATTTTTTTTATTGGACACGAACTTCAATCGATTCTTCTCCATCTCTTGTGATGACGCAGACTCTTCTCCGGCTGATTTATTTTTCATTATTTTGTCTTTCATAACATATTCTTCTTCACTCTAAAGTGTGAGAAATCAAAGGTTATTACAAATCCTTTATAATGCTACAATATTAAAACATAATCCTTACCCTATTGAAATCCCAACCTCCTCCAGAGTTAGTTCGTGCTTTCTCTTTTTTACCCGTATTATTTATACTATTCCTATCCTTAGTTTTCGAAAAACTCAACTTTGCCAAAAATTTACCGCTTTTCTTATTTGGTGATTTTATAACCGTCTTTAAAATTAATTTTTTTTTTTTTAGAAAATTCCAAATAGTAATCAAATAGAAAAAATTTTAATAGATGTCACACCTCGATGTTTGAACCTTCCGCATCACCAACTCGCCGTGAATACGTATAATATGTGGGTGGAACATTTTTTGTAACAGTAGAATTTCTTTGGGCATCTATCAAATGCTTAGGAAAAGCAACCAACTCCTCAACGTGCGACAAAGAGTTTGGAATTGTACTATAATGGTTAAATAAACTTCCACTTGAATTCACGGCTTGATTAGAATATACACCATTCTGCGGGGATAACGGAAGCGAGTCAGGATAAAAAGTTGTGGATTGTTGATTAAATTCTTCAAAGTCTGATACATCATCGTTTTCGCTATAATGGGATTTAAGTTCGGTAATAACATTCATTATACGAACGCGTTTACCGAATGAGTTTATATCCAACTCTTTTAATGTTGATAAGCTTAACCCAAGAAGTACATCACCTGTGATGTCATTCTCTATAATTTTTAAAAACATAATTAGTTGGAGTCAGTAATTTTGTAAATTAATCAGCAAAATAATAAAATGATTTTTTGACTCACCTATAAAATGATGAATTTCCGAATCGAATCCCTTCTCTGATAACCACATGCATACTTGATCCACATCCCAGGACATTGGATGCCCATTTAATGGTCTTTCAGAAGAAGATCTTTCAACTTTCTTCGTGTTACCTACAGATCGCGACTGAGAACTATGTTGTCTCTCTAATGATGAAATCCGACTACTCGAGGTGCTAGATTCCGATGATGATGTCATGGGATATTTATTAGAATGTCCGTTTTTTGGTGACCATAGAAGATTTTGTTGATTTAGCTTATACTGATATATTTCTTCTTCTTCAGATCTAACTCCCATTCTATGTAATTTATTTTGTATATCAACTATTGTATCATCAATAGATGGGCTTGGCCTCCTAAAAGGTGCCGAAGGCAAATCCAAATCTGATCCACGCATATTAAAAGCTGATGTTGGCGACAATTGTCGCGAACTTGTTTTAATGCTATTACTACTTACAGGAGACGATGATGCATTTTTTGGATTTGGTTTCTCGTATGTTGTATAATTCTTTGGGAAAAGTCCAATTTGCCCACAAATATTTTTTCCCTATTTGCAATAATATCCAATTGAATGATGACGGCATAAGGAGAAGTTCGTTTTATTAATAAAAAAAATTTTTTGAATTGAGAATCACGTGATTTAAATAAATACATCATTAAAATAAAGGTAATTTGGTAGTTATCTTTACCCTCCACCAGCCATCCCGATACAAATCATCTTTTTCTAATACTGTTATCGGTTCCCCCATTTGAAAAGGAACCTCATCATCATGTTCAGCTTCAAATGGATAAATCGCATATACGGTTTCCAAAGTCATTTTGAATGACAAATTTCGTCGCAGCTTATAAAAAGAAAAAGGTTTAAACTTCTAATTATTTTTTTTTTTGAAATTAAATTAAAATTATTCTATTGTGTTCGCATAAATCCTTTTGTTTACTGTAAAACGAAAAAACACTGAGAGATTTAAATTTCTCTTGTATTACAGTTCAAATGTTGTTGAATTGAACTATTCGTTTTCCTATTTAAGAAGTCGGGTATGCAGAGCCCTTGGATATTATTATTCCCCGAAGGAAAAACACACAGCGTAGACTAAAATTTTTTTTCTTTTTACTAAAAGATAAATGAAAGTAAATTTTTTTAAAAAAAAGAGGTTTTATTTGAAGCTATTACTTGTCAAACAATATAATATGAATCAATGCAAGTTTCGAAAGCATGTAATCTGTTCATCAATGATAAATAGCGTAAAAACTCTGCAATTGGCACATGTGAAAGTTATTATGTTATCACCGTGATAATTACTATGTTTGGTTCCTCATAATTATCATCTCTTTCCATTCTTTCCTGTATGAAATTTTAAAAAAGTATGAATCAAATTAACATAAATCACCATTCAAGGGACTTTACCGACCTGTCGGTCACGCGGTGTGACGACATCATGTTTTTAATTAAGCTTAATAATTCTCGCATTTTGCATATTGGTAATGATTTATTCTCGAGAAATCTTTTTTATACATGATTCAAATATGTAATATGGTTTTTTATTTATTTACTGCGCCATGAAAGATTTGCTATTGGTTCCATGTTGTTTTAGCATTGAACAGATGAAAAAGAACATCAATTCGTTTTACCATCATCTGCACCATTGAAGGAACTTTTTTAGCTAGCCATGATTTCGCGACAGGAAACTTTTATTGGGAGAATTCTATAATGGATAAAAGTTTTACTAAATATGTCTACGAAACTGCATCTGCAATTGTTCCATCCCGTTTTAGTAAATTTTGTTCATTTATAGCAAACAAGTTAAAACGTATAAATAATTGGCTTTATCTCCTTGCGCTTTTTTTCACAAGGTTATTCCTTCATATTTGGTTCTCTTGAAAAAATGCTGAAAGATGCTTTCAAGAAGATTGTAAAAAAGTAATTAAAATGGTTCGCATTTTATCCTTTAAGTTTTTCTTGTCTTGGACTTCAATCGCGTTTTCTTTTTCTTTTATTTTTATAGAACAATAGGTAAACCAATTTAACTAATTTAATGAAATAATTGGTTTCCAATTATTTTTTTATCATTATTATTATTGTTGTTTATTATCATTATTATTATCGTTGCTAAATAATTAAAGAAATTTACAACAGCATAATAAATGAAATTAAAAAAAAATAATACCATTATAAGATTTCCGCCAAAACAATAAAAGTTAATTTTTTGTTTTTATCTGATAACGAGAAAGGAATTTATCCTTATTTAAATTGGATATTTTTGTCTAGTACATTCTTGCAAGGAAGTTTTCAATGCTAATTGCCAAATTTATTTCAAAATAACTAACGAATTTCCTTTTTTTTTTTTGAAAGATATAAAACTCAAGCTTGTTCAATAAATTTCGCGACCTCCGTTAATTAAATTCTTTTGCAACAGACGAACCACAATGCCAAACGACGGAAAAGATTTTCCAATGAAAATAACATTAAGCGACGGACAAGAAATTTTATTTGAAGAATGGATGTATAATCTAACAGTAGAAGATTTTGTTATGGCAGGTTTAATACCTATTGATAAAGCGATTTCGTAAGTAAAATCAACTTTGGAAATTAAATTAATTAAATTCCATAAGTAAATATTTATTTTATTTTAAAAAAAAAGTCTCATAGAACAATGGAAACTCGAAGATAGGATTGCTGCTGCAGTCAATTATCATCCACAAGTTCTTGAAATTTTAACGAATCCAAATATATCGGCAAGAAATGTCTGTGTAAATTGTAATACCTCCAATTCTCCAGCATGGCGAAGGGATAATCAAGGGAAATTGCTTTGTAATGCTTGCGGATTGTAGTAAGTAAAAAGTTGATAAATATTATACAACACATTTTTATTAAATCAATTAATAGAACGTACATTTTTCGGTAGTTTGAAACAACATGGAATGAATCGACCTGTTGAATACATACAAGGAGGAACTATCAGATATAAGCGACCAGAAAAGAAGTCACAGTTGTGACAAACGAGCTACTTAAAACACCCCTTATTAATTGTTATTTTATGACTTTTCTTGTAATACATTTTGAAATAAATCTCTTATGCTGCGCCATTAACGAATTCGCTTGTCTTTGATTCTTTGCCATGACACAACATGCATACGAGACAATATAAAAGAACAAATTATGTCCAAAAAAAGTGGGAATTCTAGTCATAAGATCTCCTGTCTGTATAATGACCATTTGATCTGCTATGATCTGCTTTGCTTGCTGTGTTTGGAATTAATAGTATATATATAAACCAAGATGTTTATTCAACCTTTTTATTTTCCAAATAATTACTATTGTAATAACGTTTTTTTTATTTATTGTAAAATTGAATCTTTCGAAAATGTCTGCAGAAAACCTAATAAACATCAGAAATCCTTCACGTAAACCATTGCCTGCTTTACCAACAGAAAGGTCAATTTCAGATTTAAAATCTACAAAATCTATACCATCAACTTTATTTACACCAATTCAAGGTTCAAGCGATGTATCATTAGATAGTATTTCATTAGGTCATTTACGTAATATTTTAAAACAAAGCCTACATAATTGTGCCCTTGATACCAATCCTTGGGAAACTATTATCTTGGGAATTATACTCGATATCGCCGAAACGGTTCCAAAAGCTATAGAAGCAATATATCAACATGAAATAAAAAAACATGGTATCATTTCCTCGAAAAAAATAATAATCAATGGTAATAATGATAGTAATAAACAAGAAGAAAAAGAAAATGATGAAAATTTAACATCGGAAACTATTCAAAATAAATTTATAGGTGAATCAAAATTTGTAATAACTTTAAAAAAAGATGGTGGGAAACCTATGGATTCACATTTCGTTTATAATTATTTTGACGGTGAACATCTATTTAAACGTGAAAACGAAGAAGGTAATTCTAAAAATATAATCCATGTGATCAATCCTTTTCATCTTTTTCATCATTTGTATATATATATATATATAATTTTTATAATTTTCTTTTTCAAAAAAAAAAAAAAAAGGTCTGGTATTTACTAAGAATGAAATGAAAAATTGGATAGGTGGAACGATAATATTAAAGGGTGCAAAGGAATATGTTAATAAGGTGGATAAAATTTTAGAATTAATGATCTATGTTGTGTGTAATTTGAGACTTGAGGTATGTTTATTTAGGGATCATTTTATCTCGAGAGATGATACAAAAGATGGTCAAGATGCTGAGGATGTTCAAAATAGATTAAGAAATTCTAGACGTTCTTCAAAATCTTCATGGCTTGGATGGCTGATGAAACATAATAACATGTCAAATATTAGAGATCATGTAAACAAATCTCATGAAAAGCATGGATTGATAAGGAGAACTTCATTAAAAAGAAATCATATTTCAAAACTATCAATTAATTCGACTTTAGCGACGATAAACACTGAGGAAGAGGTTGATATGACAATTTTAGCTAAAAGCAAATTTGCAAGGGCAATTCATCAAATGGAAAACACTATACTATCATCATCTCCGGGAGTGAAATTTCCTCCTCCTCATGTTTTAGTGCGTTTAAGAGATGAAGAAACTGAGATCAGTCTTCATACAAACGAAGATGGTACATATAAGTCATATGCTGTAAATGATGCTTTGGATTTGGCTAATGACTTCTCCAATGGAAATGGGGCAGCTTCCACGAGAAATTCTACTGGAAAATATCGTACTTATGCATCTGTTACTGGGACGAATCAGGTTTCGCAGGATTTCCGATCGGGACTTACATATTTGATGACAAATAATAATTCATTGAATTGTGTATTCAAACATCAGGCATTATCATGTTCTTTCTCTAGGTTTTGGTCACCTACTTCGATATCGCCATGTCATAATCATGAAATAACCACAATGGAGTATTATAACAAGAATAATGATCACCCCGATAAATGCCTGGGAGAAATCATTAATCTGCTATGCGATCAAGCTCATGAAATTTGTCAAGATGCATCATGCGACCATCCTGGACTCGATCATATTAGCACGTATACTCACAATACAGGCAGGATCAGTATAACACTTGAAGAATTACCTGATCCCCATGTAAAATCCTTCTCCGATAGCATTTTAATGTGGACACAATGTGAATCGTGTTCCGTGAAAACTCCAATCGTGCAAATGTCACGTGCGACTTATCTTTATTCATTTGGAAAATATCTTGAAAATTTAATTTATAATGAAGATTTTACCCCTAAGACTTTATGTTCGCATTTTGATTCTTTGGTCAGATGTTTTCGCAGAGAAGATTTGGTCGTGAAAATTGGATGTGAGCACGTTGATTTATTTGAAATGCGATTGCCAAAATTGCAAATTAGTCAAGAAGAGACTCCAATTAAACATACTTTAGGTGAAGCCGAAGAAATTGATAAACTTTTTTTTATTGACGATGAGGATGAGATGAGATTATTTGATGAGACCAGATTGGAAATCACATATTTTTATGGTGGCGTTAAACAACATATAACAGCATTAGAAGAATACTTTGATTCTTTGTCACTTAATGAAACGGACTCTAATTCCAAGGGAGACATTGCCATTAAGGTTAATGGTAATAATGTTGATCTTAGTGAAAAGAAAAGTTATTTAAAATTGTTGGATGACATGGCAAAAGATTTTCGTGTAGACGAATTTGAACTTTATGATATTCTTAAGAAAACAAAAGCTACTGTTTTGAATGATGTGCGGAAATTGTTTGTAGAGAAAATTCATTCAACAAAAAAACGATTGTTGGATTGGCAAAAAGCTCATGTTCGTGAAGAAAGTTTAGCAAAATTTTCGAATATTGAATGGGTTGAGCCGGAATATGCAAGGTAACCATAATATTAAAATTGTTTATTAAATATAATTGCATCGATAATAAAACAACTTTTTTTCCCTACGTAGTTCAAGTAACTGCCATGTTTTCCCTGGATCTCCTATCATAGTTAGAGAAGATGAACCTAGTTCTATCATCGCATTTACATTAAGGTATATTTATGGAATTATATTTATAAACAGAAATACTTTAATACTAAAATTTTATTTTTATTAGTTCAAGGGATTATTTAAGAGAGTTGTCACTTATGCGACAAAATGTTAGATTGTCATTTACACAATCAGCTCCAGTAACCCCCATATCTGAACATCATCAACCTCAAGTTTCAAACTCATTCTCAACGTTAATTACTTCATTCAAAAGTCCATCCACATCGAATCTCGCGTTAAAGAAAGATTTATCGACAGATTCGGAAGGAACCAATGGACTACCAACTTTAGACCAGTATAGTTTCACTATTCGACGTAAACATGTTAAAGATAATACTTATACAATCCCTCATGGATTTGATCTTGGATCATTTAATTTGTCTCTTAGTGGCAGAGATAAGAAAAAAGACCCCGAAAAAGAAGGTGAAAAACAGGCTACTCCTAAAAATGGCGGAAAATTTGGTGGAATTTTTGGACAAAAGAATGAAGATTCCGAGAAAGCTAAAGATGAGATTTTCAATGAAAAGGCACAATATGTCAAAGAGGAGCAAAAACCAGAATCATTTAATGGTTCCGAGAAATTATCAAACGAAAAACAAGATATAAATGATAAGGAGTTACCAAAAAGAAAGGAAGATTCAACATTTTCATGGAGTCGGAAGACTCAAAAAGAAAAAGAAACCCCACATTTAAAACATCGTGAGTTTAAGTCACACACACACTCTCTCTTTTCATTGTAATAATTTCCTCCATTTTTGTAGAGTTTACGCATGGAATGAAAAAATTTTCGTGTACAGTCTATTTTGGCACACAATTTGATTCACTTCGACGTCGATGTGGAATCGAAAATTTATCCATCGACTCTCTTGCTCGATGTTCAACTTGGAAAGTCACAGGTGGCAAAAGTTCAAGCACTTTCTTCAAAACGCAGGGTAATATTATTACTATTAAGATTGTTTTAGATAATATATAGAATTTCTAACTTAATAAATTTTATATTTATTATAGACGAAAGGCTTATTATAAAACAGATGGTATCATCTTGGAGAATCGGAGAAAAAGAAGCTTTATTGAAATTTGCTCCAAAGTATTTTGAATATATGAACAAGGCTCCTATCGTACGTACAACTTAACCTGATTATGGAATATTATATTCTCTAAATTTATATATATTTTGTAAATAGATACCATCAGTCCTTGCAAAGATTTTTGGATTCTATACAATAAAGATTAAGGATTTAAAAAAGAATAGCAATATCATAAAGATGGATGTCCTGGTAATGGAACATTTATTCTTTGAGAAAACCATAACAAGCGTAAGCATTTTTATATATAATATATAAATGTAGATATCTAAGCTTATTATAACCTCTTTTCTTTTTAATAGAAATTTGATTTGAAAGGAATTCAAGAACGTCATATAAGAGAACAACCTCAAGAAGGAGATGTGACATTATGGGATGGTGATTGGGTTGAAGGAAGATATAAATCACGTTTGTTAATACACTCACATTCCAAAAAGATTCTTCGAGAAGCAATACTTAACGATACACAATTCTTAGCAGATTCAAATATTATGGATTATTCGTTATTAGTAGGAGTTGATGGTGAAAAGAAAGAATTAATAGCAGGAATTGTAGATTTTATTGGAGCATATACCTTATATAAAAAAATTGAAAGTAAAGGTAAAACCATTGGAAGAAATGCAAAAGAAGTCACGGTTTTACCACCGGATCAATATAAAGATAGATTCAGAGATTCCATAGATCAATATTTCCTGGCTGTACCAGGTGAGCAAAATGACAACTATAAATGTTAATAGAGAATGCGCTAAAATTTTTTGTCTATTTTATTTATCTAATTTATTATTTATTTTTTAAGGTAAATGGATAAAAACATCATGTATTGATGATCGTCAATTGTCACCAACTGAAGAATCATCATCAAATACCAAACCTACAAATTTCAATTATCCACTACCACAAACATCGATCACACTAAAATTACCCAGTGTATTGTAATAGTTGTTGTAATAGTAGTTGTAAAAGTAGTTGTAATATTCATTCATTTATTTATTCATGGACATTATAAATCATAGATTATTTAATATATTTATTATTTAAATTTTTTTTGGAGAAAATTATATTAGGAAACTAATTCACAATAAAAATTGATTATACCCTTTTATACCTTTTTAAAGATTAATTATGGATTCTTTAAAATCATTGTAATCTTAGTAGAACGAAGATTCTATTTGTTTTTCATAACGAAAAATAATCTTACTAATTTTCACATCTTTGGGAAACATATCCGAATTATTAAATATTTACAACTGAAATTACCAATTAAAGATCAAAATTAAATTTTATTTAATATCGTATTTTTTTCACGATCATTACGATAGGCAATTTTTATATATTTTTAAAAAAGCAAATGAAGTTATTCCATACTGTAATTTGGGTTTCGCTTTCATAAAAAAGTAATACAAACGAATAAACATACATAACAATCTTTTGAAGGGCATAAATTAATCGAACTTCATATGAATCGATATGAAAATATTTATATAAATTTTTTTTTATTTTTACCCTCTTATCACACCACCCGCTATAATTTATAATAGTTTTACCACTCATAAAGTGAAGACTAGACTACATGGTGAATCCGTCTACCTATCCGAAGACATGGTGAAAGAGTCTACCTATAACCATCGCCTTCCTCCACAAGAGGGAGTATAAACACTCACAGAAGTGAATGCAAACTAAGGAAGAAACAGATGGATTCTACTCTTATTAATATTAAAAATGAAAATTTGTAAAATTGTGGGATTCAAAGATCTTCATGATCTTCATTATCGAACACTAATTATGGAAATATATGGTTGATCTATGATCCGTAACGTGATTTAGCCAATCAATTGTATATAATTTATTATACCAAAAAAAAAAAATAATAAAAAAGTAAAGAATTGCAAGTTGAAGTTTAAAATAGGGAAAGATTTATAGATGAAGTAGGAGAAATGGTTATTGATGAATTAACAATTAAATATAAATAAATAATTTATTAAAGTAGATTGATATTTATATTAAATAAATAAAATTTTTCGAAAATGAGTTAAATTTACTTAATTTGACATCTTAAATACAAAAAATATGGAATCAATAATGTTTTATTATTATATTTTAATAGAATGGTATTAATTTGATACTACTATAAAAAAGATTTCAAAAAATGTTATTAAGTCTTGAGCATATAAAACAATCATGTATTGACTCAAAATATCTTGTATCACTGATTACATTTAAGAAAGGTAACATACTTGATTTAATTTTCTAAACATTAAAATTATTCTCAATCAAATGTTATTGAACTTTTGAATAAATTTTCATTATTAAACAAAAATTGTAATACATAAAAATCTAATCAAATGTTAATACATCTTTTTTATAATTAACTCCTTTAGTAATAACAGTTATTTCCTAAAATTATCTGAGGATTCTTCACAATTTCTTTTTGTAAATATTTTAATTCACTAAAATCTCTTACTAAAAATATAGCAGAAATCATATCATATTGATTCAATAAATCACATATTACAGTAAGATCTCTCTAAATACATCCTCCTTAAATGCATGCATATATTTTTTTTCTATAAATGCACATTCCACACAGCCCCAAGTATATAAAGATCATACAAAATTTCTCTCTTTAAATGCACACCCTCCTTAAATGCACATTTTTTCAAATTTTCACTATGGTTCCAAGGGGGTGCATTTAGAGAGGTCTCACTGTACTTTAAGAATTTTTTAATTATAAAATCAATATCTTTTCAAAATCTTTAAATTGTAATTATATAATTCATTTATCTGCTTTCAATTTATTTAATCTTGATCTAATAACTATTATTTTATAATAGACAAATTTCATTTAAGTTTATACTAAAGTTTTAATCATTTTGATATTTTATAAATAAGAATTTGAATTTCTTACAGAATTATTAAATCATATATTATAATTATCCATAATTATTTATATTATAAAAGATTCAACTTTTTTCTTTAAAATTCTTTATCAACATAAATTTATTTGTAAACAGATTTCTTAACAACTACTGATCTAATCTTTTTGATATTAGAAATATATGCTATCCTTTAGATAAAGAATCAACATTTAACATTTATTTTGGTATAATAATTCTGGTTAAAAAGTAAAGAATTTTACCATTTTGAAAATTGAATATTTTTACAAAATTTTACTATTAATTAAGTGAAAAAAGATTTCTAAATAGTGTCTTACATTTCAAATTTTAAAAATAAATATAAATTTATTATTTAAAATACTGATTTTTTGTCTTTTTTTGTAATTTTTAGAGTAGTTAGATACTTTTATAAGAGAATATACAGTTAACTCTTTCTATAGCAAATTTTGATATAATGAATTTCATGATATAACGGATCTACAGTATGAAACAGATTTTTAAATATAGAAAAACCTTTTTTTTGCTTTACTAGGATCGCGCTGATGATATAATGATACGCACAGCTCACAAGTAGCTATACAACTTATTTAGTTTGAATCACTATTATCCCCTTTGACATTTTTAAGCCCAGTGTGAGTATATAAAACCTAAGTACATGATTGTCAAATACCTGAATAGACTGCCATATCACTAACTTGTGTGAGAGAGCGTATGGTATCTGTCATCATGTACATTCATCACTACTATTGGAAATTAGGGTCAAGAATAAAGATGGGAACTGTAATTAATATGTTGCAACTTTTAATGTTGCAACTTACGTTGCAATTAGTTTTAACCTATATATGTTGCAACTTATAATGTTGCAACATACGTTGCAACTAATTTTAGCTTATGTTGCAACATTTTGTAAATTTGAAATCAATTGCTGTACCATCTTTAGTCAAGAATAACCTAAAATGATAGCCTACACTATAGTTGCCTCATCATATGTCAAAGTCATTCAGAGAATCAAACTCTAGCCTTAAAATCCTAGTGTGATATAAGCATCATGATGATTGAAAACACTGCAATATCAACCACCTATAACCTGCGGCTATTGTTCAACTCAAGTTATACAGTACCTACCATTAATCCTACCATTACGGATACTCTTTGCAGACAATGCAGCACTTGTTTATTACAGACCAGTACTCACTATTGATTCCAAACTCAATTAGTTCACGATAGGTGAGAATATCTATTACTACTACCTGTTATTAGGATGGTATAGATCTAGATAAAGCGAACTTACACCTTATTAGTGGTAGCTACTGTTAACGTGCGATTTTGGTGGTTGATTACTAACAGGTGTAGGTGGTGGTAGTGGGAAATGCGTAGGAGTCTCTATATTGAAAGGAGTCATTGGGGTAAATTGTGAAAGAGCTGTTTGCTGTTCAATAATAGATGTTTTTGTTGGACAGAGTCTTGACCAATGCCCAACTTGATTACAATGCATACATGGTCCTCTTGGTTGCGTTCTACAGTTTCATGCGATATGCCTAGGTTGCTTGCAGTTATAACACCCAGTGCTGGTATTATTCTGATTACTTGGATTGGTTCGTAGTTGCGTACAATCCCTTGCGAAGTGTCCACTACATCCACAGTTATAGCAAGACCTTATGTTTGGCCTATTGTTATTATTACTATTTTGCCAATTATTAGTCGCATTATTATTTCGCCAGTTATTGTTGATTGCTGGTCGACTGCTGTTATTATTATAATTACGATTGTTATTATTATTATTATATCCATATCCACTGACATTATTTTGAGGAGTCGTATTAGTTCTGGTCAATAATTGCTTAAATTCTTTAAGTATTTTCTCATTATTCTTTTCAATCAGTTGTTGCATATTGACTGGATCTTCTTCAACAGTTTCAATACTTTGATTTAAATACGCCTTACTCAAAGAATATCCAGATAGTGTAGTATCTTTTGATAAAACTGCTTCAATAGATCGGGCACGATCAATAGCCTCTTCCACGTCACGTGGTGCTGTGGCGGCAATAGCAGTTTGGAATTCAGAACGTAATTCTTGAAGAAACTGTTCAATTTTCTCATCTTCTGGCGTGTTATGATATGGGACCAATTTTAAATATAATGACTCCATTTCAGCAGCATACTCTTCCACAGATTGTCCTGATCTCTGTTTGCAACGTCGCAGAGCTGATCTCCATTAAGTTCGACGATGAGTAATATTGTAATGTTTAACAAATTGGTATACAAAGGAACGATGTTTCCTTTGTTGATCCTCATTATTATCCCAATAACGAATATCTTTTTCATATTTAGCTTTATTATACTAAGTAAGTGCGGATCCTTTAAGAAAGATGGTGCGAGAGTTAAACGTTTTCGATAGGAAATATTATTAGCTTCACATGCATTATTATATCTATCGAGCCAATCCTGCGGATCCTGGTGTCCACCTTTAAAAGAAGGGAGATCTACGAATTTGCCTTCACGTTGTTCACCAAATCCAACATTTTTGAAAACAGTGGTCAGTCCTTTCATCATTCGAAAGAGATCAAGTTGACCTTGACTGGTCACATTATTTTCATCGAAAGGATCGTTTTCAGATTCATTACCATCAGAGCTATTATGTTCTGATTCAGAACTAGATGATGAAGACGAGCTATCATAGTAAGAAGGAGAACGACGGCTTCTCCTCTTTTTGTCTGACTTTTTCTTTTCAGGTTGGCCTTGAGGTGGGGGTGTCCCTGCTTTAGATGAACTAGACTTATTGGAATTCTTTTGACTGGGAGTTGATCCTTTATTTTTCGACCCAGATGGAGTTGAGCCAG